CGGCCAGAGCACTCAGAGCATCCAGAGCTTACTGGGAGACAAGTGGGAGACAAATGGGAGACAAATGCAAGACAAGTATGAAATCATGCGGCCAGAGCACTGAGAGCATCCAGAGCTTACTGGGAGACGAGTGGGAGAAAAATGGGAGACAAGCGTGAAATGATGCGGCCAGAGCACTGAGAGCATCCAGAGCTTACTGGGAGACAAATGGGAGACAAGTATAAAATCATGCGGCCAGAGCACTGAGAGCATCCAGAGCTTACTGGGAGACAAGTGGGAGACAAGTGGGAGACAAATGGGAGACAAGTATAAAATCATGCATCCAGAGCTTACTGGGAGACAAGTGGGAAACAAATGGGACACAAGTATAAAATCATGCGGCCAGAGCACTCAGAGCATCCAGAGCTTACTGGGAGACAAGTGGGAAGCGGGAGACAAGTGGGAAACAAATGGGAGACAAGTGTGAAATCATGCGGCCAAGCACTCAGAGCATCCAGAGCTTACTGGGAGACAAGTGAGACAAATGGGGGACAAATGGGAGACAAGCCTGAAATCATGCGGCCAGAGCACTGAGAGCATCGAGAGCTTACTGGGAGACAACTGGGAGACAAGTGGGAGACAACTGGGAGACAAATGGGAGACAAGTATAAAATCATGCGGCCAGAGCACTGAGAGCATCCAGAGCTTACTGGGAGACAACTGGGAGACAAGTGGGAGACAACTGGGAGACAAGTGGGAGACAAATGGGAGACAAGTATAAAATCATGCGGCCAGAGCACTGAGAGCATCCAAAGCTTACTAGGAGACAAGTGGGAGACAAGTGGGAGACAAGGGTGAAATCATGCGGCCAGGAACACAAGCCCGGAGACAAACTCAAAATCATCCGGCCCGAGCATGCACCCCTTTAAAAGGAGTAAGAACCCCTCACAGGTAAACCTGTTTGGGGAACTATACACTATACAGTCTATACACACATATATTGGAACCCCAGAGCCATGAAAAAGAAAGAAAGGACGAAGAAGCTCTCAACCAGTCCAAAACTCGCAAAATTCTCCAAATCTGAGAGTCATGGCCAGGCTTCATAGGGCCTGCAGTCATACTGATTCAGCAGTAGACTGAAGGACCTCATGGCAATGAAGGCAGATGTGATTCATCTCTTTGCAAGGCTTGGTGATCCGGTGAAAGTGTCTCAAAGTCTTATTAACAAAGGTTCCAGTTCCACGTGGTTTTGCAGATTGACCTCTGACGTTCATTTCCTTGACCTTCAGCAAGAGCTCCACGAAACTCCGACACATGTCCTGCTTTTTTCGTCGTTCTTCTTCCCGCACATATCTTCCCACTGGGGCACAAACAGCACAGATCTGGGTCAAGAGAAATACTGTGGATGTACTTTGGTGTACAAAGACTATTTAAACTTCGGCGAGCCAATGGCAGAACTGAAGCGGGCAGGCGGTTTTCAGTGCAAGTGCTCACTTTCTCACTATGCACACTCTCATGACCACGACATGGCTATGGCTCCAAATACGCACGAGGTGCGGCCCCTGTCTGGCCACACGCGCAGTGCGTCGTGCGCGTCGCCGTGCACCAGCGCGCCAGCGCCTGCCGCGAGAGCCCCGAAAGCCTCTGAAGCGTGTCGATCCTCAGGGGGTCGGAGGTCTCTTTCACGAAGGACGAGAGATCAGTCACGACGAAGGACATCCATAGTACGGTATGGATGATATGTGTATACACAATGATATGATATAATGTAGTTATTGTGTATGATAGACATGAAAGGTCCGAGTTTTCGGGGTATGAAGCTATGCCCGGTATGCTCTGGATTTCAGAAGCCAGACCCCTTTCGGGGCGGCAAAGCTTTTTGGTGCCAAAGCTTTCTAGGGATCACCTTCCGGGGCGGCACGTGCCACCCCGGCTCGCCCTGCCAAGGTGCCATTCTCGCAGGTGGCTCACTCCGCCCACACCTGGGAGAATGAAAAAAATATTCCAAGGACACCACTCGAAGTGATTAGCAGTGATGCTCTGATTCTGGGTTCATGAAAAAAAGATCTGCCACTGGCTGCTTTCTCCGAGTGAAGAGCCCAACTTCATGAAACGAGCTCTTCATCCGATGCAAGAACTGGGCTCCCCGAACGACCCTTTTGCCACAGGTCACGTGTGCTCTTGATCACCGCTTTCACCTCGACGGCCCAAAAGAATGGTGCTCGGGACCTTCAAGAATGGTGCTGGACTCGGCTCAGACAGCATCAAACACCCACACAGCTCGCCGCAGTTGTTTCCTCAAACCAATGTCTGACACCACCCCGGAAACCTTGCTGTGGGCACCCAAGACGATCTATCTCGCTCGCTCCCCTCGCCGGTCTCACGGACCCGAGGACGCATGGATCGGGTCCTGGTTCCCCCAAAAAGCCCACGGGGGCGAACCTCTCCCTTTCACTCCCCCACGGTCGGGTCCGCCTCCTTCAAGCGTTGTGGGGGCACGTCGCTGAGGTCTCCGAACTTCTCACCATCGCCTCGCCAGGGGGGCCGGGGGGGGGGGCCGTCGACAGACCTTGGAGCGGATGTGGCGCGCCAGGAACCTGCAGGACTTATTTTCAAGGCATTTGCACTGGTACCTGGTGGCTGCCCGACCTGGATGGAGGGCCAAGGAATGGGAGTAAAAGTAAAGTAGGAAGGAAGGACATGATCACAAGAATCAAGGAATCGCACCAAGACCTCTTCACATGTGACCCTTTTCGATTCACCTTGCGGTAAAAAATAGAAACATAAATAAAGAAAACGCCATGAAGCAGTGCTCCCTTGGCACTAAACGAAATGAGATGATAAAATGATTGAGAAATCCACAGATTCTGGACGCGTCTTCTCTTCACACTGGGAACTGAAGGTTCAAGTTAAGGCCCCTGCTCAAATCTAGCTACTCTCTCTTGCCACGGGAAGCCCAGCAAAAAATAGGGCCTCCGCTTCCAGGTAACGCTTGCTTCGACGACCTCACGCATTGACGAGGCGTCTGTCTTGAGGGGTGACCAAATTCATCACGGCCCATGTTCATGTTTTTCGATGAGTGAAAAACCACCTGGGAGGGGTCATTCAGCATTCGGATGTATTTGAATGTATTTTGGTCCTTCAGGTTGAGCCATTCCATCCACATCGAAGCACCCTGAGTCTTCCGGCCTGATTCTTCAGGGTGTCCGACCCTCTCGGAAAACCCCGCGGAAGACCATCCGACCATCGGTCACGGAGAGACGGAGAGACGGAAGATCCATATGGCTGAGCTGATCGGAACAGCGGTCGACCGTAGCTCAAGCCAGCCGGGTACCGAACGACCCGGCGACCCGAACGCCTAAACCATTCTATCCATTCTTTTGCATTCCTGATCTCGACACCAGTTGCACCTGAAGACCCTGGTCGGGAGCTTCCAAACGCCTTTTTGGGGGCGCGAACATGTGGATTTTCGGAGGCTTTTGAGGGTTGGACCTCCAAACAGCGCCACCCAAGCACCCTGCAGCCCTGGCCCCTTGGTCAACTCCAAGGCCATGGCCCGCGTGGCCCGCGTGGCCCGGCGCCCTCCGCGTCGGAAGAAGCGGTCACAGAAGGCCGAGGATTGCCCTGGCCGTGATCACTTGACATGCGGGCGGCCGGACAAAAACGCACACTTTGTGACCCCCAATCAAGAAACACACACATGTTGAAAACGTTGGGCATGTTGAAAAGTGCTTTCCCAACGTGTTTCATGTTGAAAACCTTGGCATGTTGTTTCATGATGAGCCTCTTAAGAGGTCAACAAAGGAAGCTGAAACGCGAGCGTCCTTACACTCGCGTTCAACTGTGTCTGCTTGTTCTCTGGTCACAAAGAGGTAGGGAAACTGAAACCAGCACCCCTAGACATGTCTTCATCCCACCTTTCTACTCCTAAAGGTGATCTTGTGCTGCAAGTGTTTCCCTCCTGGGCGTAGACCGAGATACAGGAGTTCTAGATTCTAGACCCAACTCGCAGATGCAGCGTTTTCCAAAGGCATAGCTTCAGCCTAGCTGCTCCAAGAGACGATAAGAGACAGGGGGAAGACCAGGACAACAAACGCAAGGATTGTGCACTTCCGAGATTCTAGATGCAACTCTTGTGCCAGAAAAACAAGGAAAATGCCACGCCCGCAGATGGGAACCATCGATCTAGAACCTGACCTTTGCACAGACTATAAAAGCTCCTCGATGTGGCAGACTGTTTAGAAAGAAATATGCATTTGCCCAAAGCCACTTGGCTCGGGGAATTCTTATGATCCAACACTATCCGGAATCAGTTGGTCTCAAGATACAGAGCGGACGGCGAAACTGCGCAGTCGGTTCTTGGCAAAGACGCGAAAATGGAGGATGCGTATTTGCTTCTCCGTTGACGGAGAAACGCTGAACCACATCCAAGGAACTGCTTCTCCTCCAGGATGGATGACAGTCGTAGCATCGTAGCACGACTGTAAGCACTCGGGCATGTCCATTTCATCTCACCATTCCAGCGCTCGGTCACCAACCAATACACCATGGTGACGTGGATGGCACCACCTGGCCCTCACGACAGGCCAAGACCTCGCTTCCGGATGCGGTTTCAAGCTGCTTAGCCAACGTGGAAGCACATACGAAGTCTGCCTCACCAGCAAATAACGCCGTGATGCTGTACAATTCTTTTTACGAATGGCTATGGAAATTCAAGGTCTTCTCTGGAGGACCTGAACAACCTCAGAAGGGCACAGATCCTTCAATGTATGGCCCAAGCTGGCCCTCGGCTTCAGGGCTGGTCAAGTCTCGATGGCCTCCAACCTAGTAGCGTCCATTCCCCTTGTTCTGCCCTTCACCAGGCCCTCGTGCCGGGTGCGCCCGGCTCGAGCCGATGCCCAAGGTCTCTTAGCGCAGCTCTGCTCTGCATCTGTTCTGGACACCTCTCTAGCCATGGCACCTACAGCTTGCCATAAAACGGTGCAACCATGTCATCCAGCAGCCAGAATGACATTGCAACAGCCGGGCAGGGTCTTTGCTCTGGGGTCCAGAAAACGGAAGGACGCTCTTGTTCGCTTTTCTGGCCCGAAGCTTTCTGGTATTGCTGCTTGTGGGTGTTCTCTACCTTTGCTAAACTTTTCCGCGCTTTGCTAGGTCGACATCACCTGATCATCTGGCCTTGCTAGGTCGACACAACCATCAGCTGGATGGTAGGGCCTTTGCTCACAGGTGCTCGTGGAAGCCGAGGGAAGCAATAATATATACAGTAAGTAGTGCAAGAAGAGGAAGCCGAGGGAAGTAATAGTCAAAGCGTGCTTGCAAAAAAGAAGTGTGTGCCCACCACAGCTGCCCAGCATGTACATGCAAGCAAAGTGAGCTGCAGCAAGGTGCAAATGCATGAAGTTGCCAGCCAGCTTCCTACAAGACTATAAACTGTGTCGTGGTGGGTGAGTCGGAGACGTGGCTTGGAAAAGGGGTAGCCAGGTCATTCAAAAGACACCTCGGACTCCCAAACACGCCGTGAAACTGACTCTGGGACCTCCCAAACACACCAGCTAACCCAACACACCCAACACACCCAACCGAGCGCCAGATCTGGCGCCTCATCGCCCATGTCAGTCCCATGTCGAGCCGCAGCGACTTGGCTTAGAAATGCAGCGGGAGGAAGAAAGGCGTCGGAGACGGGAGCATTTTCTATGACCCTCCGACGAGGGGGGGGGACGCCGATCCGCTGCCTCGTCGGATCCGTGAAGCCTTTTGGAATCCGGATCCGTCCATCCGCGGCGGCCTTATCGCGAGTGTGTCTGTCATCAGAGTTTGTTGGGTCAACCCTCACGTCTGAAGACGTACTATCAAATGACACACGAACCAAAGGAGAAGCCTCCCCGTGAAAACGCTCAACCAACCTCTTCCTTTTTTCAGGGAGCGCTCCCCAGATGACTCAGTCAGCGGAGGCCAGCAACTGTCCTGGAGGTGGAGGCAACTCACAAGGCCAGGAATCACTTCCAAGACTCAAAAGCTTTGAGCTTCTTATCTCACAAGTTGAACAGGCACAAGCTGAAATCCTCTGCAAAATCCGCCACGAAATCCGTCACCCAAGAACCAATGTCAAACTACTCTTGGCTTCTGATTCTTTGAACAATAGGAACATGGAATCCTGACCCTCCACAAAGGGAAGGGCGTTGTCCAATCTACCTTGTGCTTCATCATCAGTGACCCTCTTCCAGTTTCTTCCGGTCTCTCACCATCTCCTGCCAAGCCGCTCCCCTCGGCATCCTCGGGATCTGCCTGTCATGGGGTCATGTTGTCAAGGTTTTTGGGTCATCAAGCCCCACACTCATCCCACACACATCCTACACTCATCCTACACTCATCCCATCATCCGTTCAGTCCACAGGGTCTTCACAAACCACCGCCCACCAACCACCGCCCCCCAACCAAGATGGATACACTAAGGCGTCCAAAAAACCGGTGCTTTGCCGAGTTCTTGGGGAGTTCTCCGCCAGAAACGATCGCGCCCACCTCCGGCACTTCAGCAGCCTGCGTGACGGGACGACGGTACGGGCGGTAGGGATTCATCCGTCAGCGAAGGGCCCCCTTTTCGGACACACGAGTGGTCCCAGCATGTTGCATGGAACAAGAGCGCTGGAGGGCTGCCGAAGCAACACATTTGTTGGCACTGGAAGAAGCGAAGCAAGGCGAAGTCTTTTCGCTGTGCTCAGTGGCACATCTGCCATGTGCATGATGCTCACAGTGTGTTTTCGTGCACATACAGTAAATATCTTGATTTTTCTGAAGTTTGTACATGCAACGCAACCTGCCAATTGCATGCAAGTCATGATCAAAGTCATGGTGACGTCCGGAGTGCGGGCCTGCTCTTGAGCATCAATCCTGTGTGGCAGCGCTGGAATCTCAACCGGTGTCTTAGAAAGAAATATGTATACCACCATGGTCTACGAAAACGCAGTGCTTAACGGGATTATCAGCAGTACCAGGTTAAGTGGGTCACTCTTGTTGACAATCTTCACCCTGCTCAAATAGGATACCATATTTTGGGCACTCCGCAGCTTGAGTGGGTTACCTTGCAGCTTCTGTCACTTTCTGCGCCTGAAGACGAAGAGGCCAATACAGCAAAGGACGACCAGCACCACATCCTCAGTTGTCGCTCGAAATTCGATAGAGTTCAGCAGAATATGCTGAAAGCCCTTCAAGATCAAGAATTGGATCTCACAAAAATACGATGGTCGGAGTACAGAACCACCACTTGAGTCACAGACCCACACGCAAACAGCCAACAGCCCTTTGAGTCACAGACCCGGGGTACAGTTGTGGTTTAACAAAAAGTAGTTGTATGAAAAAGACGCAAATGCAAAGCTGAGGTGTTTCTCTCAAAGCTCAGCACCTATCGAATCAGTCATCGAATCCAGAAATTAGTCAGGCGGCCACAACAGCGAAGGGGAATCCAGAAAAGATCCCGTTTTGAGATGAATCCGGAAGAATAAGTGAAATGTGTTGTTTTTCCATTTGGGCATAGTTTTCAAGTTCTTCAACAAGTTGTGCCGACCATGGAGAGTAGGCACGACAGGGCATACTGCCAACCAAAATTCTGTGGAAGCCCAAACGCACGAGAACTGATTTACCATTACGTTTGTTTTCACAAAATGGGTGGACTTTCGCAGTATGTTCCAGATACAGTACTTGACTATAGCGCGCAAATTGCATCCAATTTGAGTGCCCTTTTTGCTGGCCTAACCTCTGGAGAATCAAAGTCGTGAGTCATAAGGTTTTTGTATTCCTTGTGAGTCCTTTCACCCACAAAGGAAGAATACGATATGTCCTCGGAAATATATTCTCTCAATGTATCAAGAAGAAGACCTGTATATTGAAGATTTTCGGGAATCCAACGAAGTATTGATCCACCAAAACACAGAAGATTCTCGTACGATCTCTTGTGTCTACTACCCAAAAGTCTGACCCTTGGCCCCCTTGGCCGCTTGTCCTGACTCACTCGTTTTACATTACACGAGCGAAAACCCTCCAGGTTAGCGCCGACTCGGTCGGCGCACATCACCGCTGGGACGGACCTGACATCTTCTGCACCAAGCTGGCCGGGGCACCTCCAGGCAGGCACCTCTCCAATCTGAGGCCCCCAACCACCCCAGGGGTGGGCATCACCTGGGACCGACGGGCGGTTCACGCCTGGGTGCAGCGTTCCGGACAGCGGTGCCAGCGTCCAACGAGGCACCGACACTGCCAAGGACGCCAAGGACGCATTTTCCTGGTCCTCCCTTCATGAACGAAAAGTCCGGCCAAAGAGGGGTCCCACAGCCACCCAGACGGACGGGCGTTTTTCTGGGTGGATGTCCAGTTCCAAGGCCTTCATGTACTCCGACAGCTGGTCTTCGCCCCGGTTCACCGTGGACAACAAGCGGCGCCGAGGCCTTGCAGGATGACCACAACCCTCGAGTGTGACCTTCAACCCTGTTCCAACGTTTCAAGACTCACATGTCCAAACCGTCTTTTCCTGAACAAAGGGAGCTGAGTGAAGAAAGATGCGAAGAAAGGGAAGATAGACAGAGATAGACAAAAGACAAGAAATGACTAGAACATCTAGAACTCCAGTGGAGAATGACCAGTGTTCCAAGACTCCTGATCTGATTAGAATGGAATATCACCATGTCCACTACCCATGTCCCCAGAAAACCCCGCCTCCAAGTCACGGTGAAGTACTCATGGCCATGAAACTTCATGTTCGCCTGGACCAACCATCGGTGCCTCAGATCATGAGTGCAGTGCAAAGGGAGTCACAAGGACCGCAAGGACAGAACTCTTTGGAAGGGAAGAAAACTCGCTTCTGCACACCGTCAGAACACAAGTCACGAGGCGCGAAGCTGTGGATTCATCCAGTTGGAGCAGGATGACGCCGTCACACACCTCACCTTTCTGCAAATCTTGTCTTTCACAACGCGCAAAAACCAAGCTTCCTAGCCGTCCCGTGTCGGATTCCTGCGCCAGGGTGGCGTCTTCGCAAGAGTAGCAGCCCAGTGGCGGAAAACTGATAGAGGAGCAACAAAACACACACCCTACTGTCAATGTCTACCTTTCTTTTCCTAGACCAAAATAACTGTTTCCATTTGCCCAGAGAGAACCGTCTCTCGAACCGACAAAAGACAGAAAAAAGAAAACCGTCCTTCAACTCGTAGGCACCAGATTGCTTGCGGACCTTCAGTTTCTCGGGAGCACGCAGCTGTTATGGGAGAGATTGCCGTGGATGGGTTGGTTGCTGCTAAGGAAACTTCTCTGCAAACCATGGCCAACCTCAGGTTTGATTGATTCTTGATAATTATATACATATAATTACATCCTTTTGAAATCCTTGGGAATCCTGTTCAAATGTCCCGAAGGATTCGTGTGCGAGACCATGCGACCGTCGTGGTTGCAAGAACAAAAGGTCTAGTCATGGACGATAGTAGGCTACAGTACTTAAAATGGCACCTACACTGTTCCGATCAACTGGAATCCCCCGCGCTCCCCCCCGAGCTGGATTCCCCCACCATGCCCAAACCCCACCGCCCAAACCCGCGTGGCGAGCGATGCTTCTGGGCTCCCAGCGAGACGCCCAAACTCTGCGCCCTGGCTGGGCAAGGTTTGATGAGGGAGGAAAACAAGGCATCAAGAGAGAGAGAGAGAAAGAAAGAAAGAAAGAATGAAAACACGATCTAAGGGTCACTCCAAACGGAACTCGTGCATCGGCGGTTGGTGACCCTTCGATCCGAAGGGTACGGCTTGTCCTTGTCCATCTGTGTCTGGGGTGTCCGTTCGGGGCGGCGTGGGACCAGACGCGGCGTGGGACCGGACGTGCCATCCTCGGCGTCACAGCGAACAGGGTGTGAAACGCTGGATGAAATCCGCGAAAAGCTCGGTTGGTCTTCGGTTTGTCTTCGTTGGTCTTCGGTCAATCAATGGCTTCGCTTCCTTGACGAACTCCGCAAGTGAAGACAGGGAAAAAGCAGATCTCAGGAGACGTCCATTCGCCGCACGGCGCGTTACTCCTCCGACGGCGCGCCGACTGGGCCTCTCCAGTGAGGAGTTGGAGCCTGCGATCGATAGATCCCAAGCACTTGCCTCAGTAGACACTCTGCGAGATGTATCCAAAAGGGATATCCATTGGTCCAAGATGTAAGAGAGTCAAAACCCCTCAAAAGTTCTGAGCCTGCAGTCTAGATACTCTAGATGCTCTAGAGTCCATTTTTCTAGAATAGACACGTTCCATCTTCAATCGTTCCGTCAGTTGGAGCGTTGGAGCAACTTTCGAAGCGACTTCCGCTCTTCAGACCCTTCAGCATCCCTGACCCGCGCTCACCGGCCGTTGGGGACCTGACCCTTACCGCTGCCGCTATATCCCAGCACCTGAACCCAAAAGAATAAATAGGAATGAAGGCATGGTACTGTAAGGTGCAAAATGGGAATGAAAGCATCGGCATGATGCGATGCTCGTGGTGCAACGTCCTTGACACGCTCCCCGCCCGGCCTGGATTGGTCCATATTGACCATCCTGTCTCGTGCTTGCTGCGACAGACAGGATAATAAATATCATCCCTCCCCAAGTCCACCACTTCATGGTTGTGCTGGTTGTGCTGTGCCGAGTCGAACGCCCTTTCCCCATCCTCCAGCCGGCGTAGGAAGGAACGAGGCTGCCAGTCCTGGAACTTCATCTGTTGCACGGCCAAGACCTTCTTGCCGTACATGCCTCGAGTTCTGTGGCTCAGAGGGGCAAGAGCCGAACTGGACTTCAAGCCAAGCCTTGGAACCCAGTTCTGCGGCTTGGCTTAAAAGCCGTAGCCTCATGGAGCCTCCAATCTGAAGGTTTGGGGGGCTTCCACAGAGGTCCTGCAGACAGAAGGACTAGTGAGACCGTCAAATGACCCATTGGGAAGAATTCCCCATCAGCTCCCAGATCAAATGTTCACAGGAACCCACTCTGTCGTCTCCGGAAACAATCTCACCAAGCGCAAAACCAGACCAAATGACTGCCCCAGCTGTGATGCCATTGATGACTTCCCACATTCCCACGTCTCATCCTTCAAGTCTGTGTTTAAAAAAAAGTGAAGGGGTCAACTCCTTCCAGTACATCAATGTTTATCCCCACATTCTGATCTTTTCTCAGCAAAATCTGGGGGTCTCAAGTATGTTGTGCGTTGTACAGCAAAAAAGCCTGCAAAACCAAGGTGCTCGTGATGTCAAACTGCCATGCCACATCTTGGGGCAGCTGGGGCGAGGACCAGCCTGGTCAGCGGATCGCGACCGATCCGCTGCGACCGATCCGCTGGGCATCGACCGATCGCGCGTTCCTGGACCGGGATTCTGCTTGATTCTGCTAGGGATTTGATGTACTCTGTAGTTGAAAGTATGACAGAGTGCCCTTGTGACTGGGGTGGAAGACCAACAAACAATGTTGCATCGAACAGATGAGCCTACCTTCAACCAAAACACAACACTTCACGCTATAGAGCCACTGCGATCAGCACAGGAATGTGATCTGCCACACACTGTGAGGACTTCAACTGCACGGGCCGCCGACTGCAAGCGCATTGTCAAAACAAGTACAGTACATCTCCAGCCCTGCCTGCGAATCGGCTCATTGTCTTCCGAAGCTTTTCCCTTTCCTGGCTGCTCTTTCAGACAGATTTGGACCCCAGGATATCACCTGCGCCACCTTTTCTTCGGTTCCGCCCACTCTTCCAACTCATGATTTCCTCTGCTGAAAGCTCTCCGACCGGCGTTCAATGGCTCTCACCACGTCTCGCTTGCTCTTCTCTCAACGGCCCCGGCCTCTTCGCCTTGAATTCACCGAACGTCCAGGAGCGGCGACCCGGCCCAAGCGGGTCCGGGTAGCGGCTTCCCTTCCCTCAGCCTCACCCCTTCCCGTCCCCGGGGGGACTCGTTGGGCTCCTCCAGTGCCTTGATGGGAATCAGCAGCGGCATGTCCGCCGAGGGCCCCTGTGCGCTTCTCGCCGCGCCGAACGGCCGGCGCTCGCGGAGCGCCGTTCGCGGGGCCCGGTTCCACCGCGGGTGGGCTTCGACGCGTCGAAGGGCCGGCTCGCTTCGTCGCGTCCAGTCTTCTCTCCGCACAAGAGAGGCGGAGGGCGGGGTTACGACTCTGTCATGAGGAAAAAAAGCAAAGGCACCAGCCGAAAAACCAGAGTCTGTGGATGAAAATCAGACAGTGCATGGACATGTCATGTTCAATTCAGACCTATCCTTCTAGGAAACTGAGAGAACTAGAACTAGAGGAACTTCTTCGTAGATTGGTAGGACCCTTCCCTTCAATGATCATCCAGGATCATCCAGGATCAACTCTGGGAGGTTTGGATGTCTCGCAAGCTGTCCCTGGGGCCCAGACTACTAGATTGGTGCTGATGCAAGGAAGGACTTCTTGTACTGAGTGGCAGCACACCAATGGCATCCGATGGTCGTGGTTTTTCCCCGTTTTTTCCAGACCAGAAGCCACATGCGTTGATGCAGAACCTCAGAACCTCCTTGAAAAAATGAACATTGAACATGTGCCATGCATGCGAATCAAGAGATGTCCACATCAAGAAGCAAGACAGCTACAGAGCTTGGCCCAGCAGAGCAGCTTCCAGAAGCAGTCATGGCAAGCTCTGGATGTGTCAAAATGTGTCAGAAAAGCTGTGACACCTTTTGACCCCTCTGAATCATCGAGGAACTGACAGGCTTCCAATCTTGGCATCACCCAGGAGGTTGCCCTTTGATAGAAGTTTTGCAGCCTGAGTCATCGCCGCAGTCACAGGCGCAGTCACGTGACTGATGTCTGTGTGGGAACATTCCTTTTCTGTGTGACACAAAGCAATCGAAAGCACATCGCTTTGATGCGCCACCCGCTGTTTGGACTCGAAGGACGTGGAACTTCCAAGGTGCCAAGGCTTCAAACCCCAAGGCTTTCGTTGTGTTCGATGAGCGCAAAACAGCGCACCGTTCCAGGTGCCCGCACCGCGATTCCCCGGTCTCCTGCGAGGAACCTCAGTCGATGTGAATAGGACCCAACAAATCCACAAATATGTATTCTCTAGAGACTTTCTGGTTTTATAGGACAGGAAGTGGAAACACATGAGAGACTGAAAGATAGTGTTTTGCGGTGCCACATGCTTCGGGCGCTTCGTCATGTTGCGACATGGGGAGTGGAATTCCACCGTGAGTGGAATTGCGTCCAGATGGTTCAAGATCTCATTGCCCACGACCGGTGGGCAGCGCAGGTCTTTGCCAAGCAGCCGTTTTGAGAACCCGCCTGGCATGAGAAGTCTTGCGTGACACACAAAGGACAAATGGCTGGTGAAAAACCAGGCGGCTTCACTATCAAGAAGATGACCAAAATGCACACCATGCCCAGAAGCACAACGGCACTGTCCTTGCACAGCTCCAACCCAAAAGAATTCGGGGGCTGGATATCAGGAAGCATTTGAACTTTGAACCAATGAATCAAAGCTACCCAGCTACTACCAGCTACCCAGCTAGCAGCTTGCAGCATCACCCCGAAAGAATGGTGTTCCACCTTGCAGCATCTGCTCTGAGATCCGATCGCTGGTTCCCAAGCCGCTCTTCCTGACGGCCGCCACACAGCCACAGTGATCAAGCCACATGCCTTTCTCAGAAATGCAAAGAAGGAAGGTCTTGCTGCAGCTCAGTGTCGCAAATGCTGTTGATCCTGAAGCAGTCTGCCTGAGCAATCCAGCTCACCTTTCTACAGACCCAGCTTTCATCCTCCGTCCACCTTCATAGCAGAACTCCGAGTAGCAGGCTACTAATAATCCAGAGACGGTCAAAGTGGTCTAAACATACCACAAAATAATCAACATGATCGGAGCAGGAGGAACAAGTTGGACCCCTGAGTGGCGAAAAAGAACGATCGCCACTCCAATCGCCCCAGTCTGAACGGACGACCAAGGCAGCCGCAAAATGGCCAAGTGCTTGACGACTTGGGGTGCAACCTGCCAGGTGATCTCTTTCATAAAGAGATGAACTATCCCGAACTGCAGAACCTGTTCCCTCCCAAACAAGATCGTGTTCTCCCTCCTCTGGAGCCTCTGTTTCTGTGGTGAAGCACCGCACGTGTCACGGACGACCAAGCTCCAGCCTCCATGGAGCCCGTGGTCCCGTTGACCTTGATGGCCTCCACCGGAGCCCGCGAGTCCCGCTCAGACGCGACGCGCCGCTTCCTCGCCTCGCCTGCGAGCCCACTTGCACCAAGCCCACCCCGCCTGGGAAGGTGTCAACAGCAACGAGAAAACAGCGATTTGAAAGAAGAAATGGGCACACTGCATGTCGAACTTAACTTAATTCCCTTCTATTCTAGTCCACAACGAGACTGTTGTGCTTTACCTTTCGTGATGACTGCAGCACCTCCACAATTCTGAGTGCTGCTGTGCCGTTTGGCTTTCAGTCAAACCATCCATTGCGACATAAACGACACCAAAACCCGTTCATACTCGAACCAACGGCGATCGATCCAACCCCTAATCCAGCAGAGAATGACACAGGCCAATCCAGCAAAAACAACACCAACGACAGTGGCTGAACGATGACCAATCCTATAGGTCCTATAGGTCCAAACGTCAAAACTAAAACATTTTATGGATAGATCCCGGATAGACGTGTCTCAAAGAAGCCCAGAAAAAGCTCTGCGGCGCCAACGCCATGTACACCGATCACGCTCACCAACGGGTGCGTCCGGCTACGCCGTGGGTGTCTCGCCTCCACCTCCCGAGTCCAGATCCGCTGGGCACCTAATTCGGAAGCCCGTCTCAACGAGACTGAGATGCGGTGGAAAACTTGAGGTCAAAAGCATCTTGAAAATGTTGGGGGGAACACCCCAACATTCCCGCTGTCGATGGGTTTTTTGGACCATTGTCGATCGTCGATCTTCGAGCGCGTGACGCAGAGAATGATCCCGCCTCTGACTTGGATCGTATCTAAAACCTGAAAAGTACAAAATGACAAAGCCAAGATTGCATTCAAGACCTTTAGCAGCCTTAGCAAATGCCCCTTACACAACAGCCACAATGTCGCTTGAAAGTTCCAAATGTGTAAATGATTGTCACCTAAAAACCCAGCCTACATCAATCGCATCTGTGGAAACACATATGTACGAAATGCATCGAACCATTCCTCCGTGGCAAAAGAAAGCGAGCTGCACGGAATCCCAGCGAGTACAAATCCTACCGCTGTGCCTGGGTGACATGGCCAGCTATTCCCACAACCTGGCGAACGGAGTTGAATTTGGCTTGATGACGAGAGGAGACACACTGAGGCCATAAACCAGCCGAAACAGCTAGTTCTTCGTGCGCTTGTGTCGCGTTTCATCACAAAACAAACATCAGATTCACTAGTTTTTTGGAAGGAACATGAAGGAACGTATTTTTGAAAAGCATCATTCCAGTGACCCAAATCTGCAAGCTTGCACAGGGAGACCCAAGAAGAACCATATCAATAGCAGGGCATTGTTCATGGTCACTATGAAACATGCAACATGCAGCCACACGATGCCTTAAATGTATATAATCGAATGCGTAGTCTAAAAATTGTGTGTTTGTGGGGGCTCTGCAAGTTCGAATCTTTATCTATGTTCAATGCATATGTTCCAGAAAGAAAAAAACTGCTGGCTGTTGTTCGGTGTCGGGCAAGCAGGAGCGGGTTTTTTCCTGCTATAAGCTTGAGACCAAAGGCATCATGTTGCACGAACGCTATCAAAGAATGTCTTCGACCTTAGTCCTTCCACATAGAAAATGATGTGGGATGATATGCGATCTGTCCGGGTTTGGTCGGCGAACACCGCCACATGTTTAATGGACTCCCTAAGCAAAGACTTCTTCGCCGCATGTCAGCGCCGCTCCGCGCAGGTCCACGTCTCCCACAAATTTTAAAGGAAGAGTGATGATTCATTCCAAGTCGTTCGGGAGGAAAACCAGTTGTTGCACGATTTGTTTTGGACCAAACCCACACTACTCAACAGCTTTCCAGGGCCCGTTTTGCAAGGCCCTATTTTTGTTACTTTGTGTACAAATCGTTGGTTTGGTGGGTTTGAGGTATTCACACTCTGGACCCACAAAAATCAACGTCAAGCGATCGAGACGAATGCGGGTGTCGCGACATTGGGACAGGTGGAACATTCTCGTCGACTTGCATAAGCGAAAAAGGACATTTTTCGAGACATTTCCTTCACACAAAATTCTTGGGCACATGGCGAAACATGAAGCAGCCAAGCGCACTCGACGTCCAAAATTGTCGGGTCAAGAAACAGCCACGCATGACCAGCAAGTTGTGACAGAGTTGACTTTGAGCCCAAAGAAAGGAGTACACGGTATCTGTGCTCAGGGCCTTATTGTCAGGCCGTTGGCTTCTTCGTAGCCAAGGATGACTCTGTAAATGTAGCGCTGCCACATAGCAACGAAGCATGACAAAGCCGCATGCGCAGGTTGGCTTGCCGACAGAGCCGCATGCGCAGGTTGGCTTGTCGCTGTCCCTTTCCCGGCCCAAATCTGTGCGCCCATGTTTTCGTCTATCTCCTACAGAGATGGGAGGGCATTTGCATTTGAGCAATGGCCGCTTGAGCGCAAGCATAAGAACGCGGCAGCCATGTACTTCGTGTGACACCTTGTCTGGAACTCCAGCTGCCATGGTCGCTTCTACTTGACTGAGGAGGAGTTCCAAGGACTCATGGGTCCCCCCCGTTCTGGGCTCCAGACCACGGGACTACAAGGAATGGCGTGCTCGCATCCGCCTGTATCAGAAGAACACGACCTTACAAAAGAAGCAGCAAGAAGGGGTGATCAACTTGCTCAACATCCTGACTCCTTCTTGGTTTTTGACCTGCGGCAGACTGCGCAATGCCATTGCAAAGGACTGGAGAGCCACGAATGTAGCCACGAAATCAATGGCCTTTTTGGTGCTCCCCACTCCTCCCGTTTCGCGCGCATGAACAACTTGCAATTCGGAGTCCCATGCGCAGCCGGCACCGCACTCAGACCCAATCGACTGTGAGCAGCAGTGAGGATAGGCACTGGGTAAAGGTTTTTAATGACTTCATTCCCCACCAACATCCGGAGAACCTTGTCAATAGCGGAGATCTTGTTTTCGCATTTCTTCCCTCCTTTAAGCGCACGCAGGTAAGGCTTAAAGTTACGTGAAAGGAACACAAAAACTGAAACAAAACTCTGCAGGTGAGACAGAGCGAAGCACGCCAAGCAAGGTGAAACAAGTTGGACAATCAAAGGGCGAGCGAGCGACAAAATGAAGGTTCAAGACACCACAAACGACTCCATGTTGTTTCCTTCGGAGCGCTCAGGAGGGCCCAGCGTCACTAAAAGGAAAGCGAGGAAACTGAAGGGAAAGTTTCAGGCAAAACAAGGCGAAACAACGTGCCGAAAGGATGAAACAATGAAACGCACGGCCCGGCGCTCAAGTGTTCTTGGACAGGAAGAAGTAGCCTGTTTGTCAGCTGGAGTCGTGGCCGACAACCTTGCAATTCCGAAGTACAACGGCAGTGTGCGGGCGGACCTCAATGGGTTTAGAACTTTGCTTGCGGCCATACTTGACCCATGGTCCCATGGTCCTCTCTTTTTCACTCCCCACCTGTCAGCTAAAGTGAGGGTTGTTAGATGTTTAAATCCGTTCCTTCTCCTCTTCTTGCTCCGCTCTGCTCGGCCGGACCTCTTTTTGCGACGAAGGTCAGCTACTGAAGAGATTAACGGTTTCCTGCAGTCAAACAAAACCAAAGAAGCCAACAAAACAACCAAACCAAACACCAAACATCACCAAACCAAAGAACCAAAACAAAGACAGCGCAAGACCAACCAAGCCAGGAAATCTTATATATAGATATCTCTGAGGTTTTTCTCCGTGCACTTGGATTATATAATTGGGTGTGAAACGAAAGCTGGATTGAAAGGGATCTTTGCCAAGAAAGTGTTGATATCGACTTGTGACTTGCTAAAGGCTGTTGTGCTCTCACAATTTGTAGCCATACCAATCTGCATGACGCAACTGTGAGAAGATTCCAATCATAGTCACGGGCGCAGTTTTGACACGCTGCTTGACTTGTGCCTTCCGTGACATTGAGAAGGTCCTCGGTCCAGGGAAAGGCAGTTTCAAAATAGTCATGACTTTGGGCAAGTTCAAAGAGACTCGATGTGAGGATAAAGGTGGCGACTTCATGTTGACTTTGCTGGTGACATTGACGACAAGTAAATGAAACTTTAGAGCTTGCCTTGTTCATGAAACGGTGGAGGGATGAGTGCAACAATGGTTTCATATGTGAGCTTGAGGTCTTTATGAATGTCAGTGGGGAGAGTGGACATGGCAAGTGCAAGATGATAATGACTGAAGTCATCTTCTTGGAACCCTACTGCAGTGGTCCATCCTTTGGCAACTGCAACCATAGCTTGATGGCCAATGTGGTTGTCAAAGTTGACTTGCTCTTGCCAATTTGCTTTGGAAAGAATCCAAAGAGCAGTGGTATAAAAGCAGGCCATAGCATTACGGTCATCAAGGAGTTTGGCAGCTTTTTGGAAGTCTGTATCACCAAACTCCATATGTTGGAGCGAAACATCCTTGGCCACCATCTGCTTAAAGGTCTGAATATGTGCAAGTTGCCGTTTTTGTTGTATGACGCTAAAGGCGGTAGAATTGTGATTGACGTGCACAGTGGAACTTTGCACATGAGTTTGTACATGGGAGGGACAGTGACTAAGGTCACCGCCTTCCCTGTGCTTGCTGATTGGGTTACGAATGTGAGAGGGACAGTGACTAAGGTCACCGCCCTCATTATATTCTTTGCTTTCTTTGCTTTCTTTGTGCTCTTTACTTGGTTTGCTGCTTAGTATGTCATAGGCGTAAGGATTCATGCAAGACCGAGCGGCTGGCTTCTCCTGGAGATTAGCCTTTTGGTTTTCAACAAGGACAGGATGGTTTACCTCTTGCCGTTGCTGTTGAATACCACCAATTTGCTGGTCAACATCTCGATCGATAGTACTAGGAACTTCAGCATGTTTGGGACTATGGAAAGTGGTGCTCTCGGCAGCACCTTGCTTTCGATTTGCTGGATTAGCTTCCCCAAGCGCCTGATCGAATTCTTCGATTATGTCCTGCATGTACTCTTCATCCAATTTTGATGTGGGTATAGACGTCTGTTGGGATGTGCTACCTTCGTGTCGATCTCTGATTGGCACAGCTTCACATGACACGTTGTCGATGGTTGCGGCCTGAGGCATAGGGTCATCTGACACCTGAGTCGACTTAGCTGGAGCTTCAGGGGGAGTGAGCCCATTACCACTGATGCTACTAGTCTTAGGCATGTTAGTCTTGCCTGTTTGCAATTTAGCGTCAATGGACGAAGGCTGTAAGTTTCTCGTGTCTTTTTTCTTTTGATCTTTATATACCAAAGGAATCTTCAAACAAGTCCATGCCACCAGCACGCTCTAAAGATAATCGTGCACAATCAGCAGAAGAGTGGTCAGCAGGGTGCTGCTTTCGCTCCAGTGATCGAGTAGTGGGTTTGGGCTTCAGCATTTGCTTTGCACAAAGGTTGGTCACGTCAGCCATAACCTCTTTAGTATCACTGGGAACACAGAGTTCAGGTGTGACAGGACTGGTGACATCTTTACTGTGATCGGACGTGGACGAGGGGGTCGAACGCAAAGGGGACTTTCTGCTATTGGTGTGCTTCTCCGGAGTAGCAGTCTCTTGGCATTTTGCATTGACTTTTGCCGAGGGAGCAGGTTGGACTGCAGTAGGCAAGGCAGTGTTGCTACTCTTGGATTTCCATGATGAGGCTTCTTTGTTACGAGCATCTATATGCCAAACATTCAGAATTCTGCCTTCAGGTGCACACTCAAACAAGTCATAGATTCCTATTTGGCCCGGCAAGAAAAGTATGAGGTTGGTGTGGTCATAAACAGCAAGCTGTAGAACATTGCTGAGACACTTTGATACCCGGCCTCTCTCAAATCGAGGTTGGAGAACATTGAGGATTTGTCCACTGTTAAGCTGACAGTGAACGATACACCCGGTGGGCGGCAGTACAGTGATAGTCGGATTTCCTTGAGAGTAGGGTACAGGTCTGAGAATCTGACAAGCAAGAAAAATCGAATGATGATTGAGGACGTTCTTCTCATGAAGTAGGATGTTAAGCAGTTGGGAAACATCCTGCATGTCAAGGTCAAGATTGACCAAACAAATGCGATGCTAAACATGTCGCGCTCCT